TGCCTTCCCTGCAAGAAGCACACCCGCCAGAAAATAAACCCAAGACTGACTTAGACTGCAGCTGACCATTTCTGCATGTGATATTTGGCTTGCTTTCTTCACAGAACACTTGTTTTACCGTTACTGTATAACATTAACTCAAAAAGCTGTTTTGAGCTACACCTCTTACCAACTAACAACAAAAACCCATGTAGTCCAACAGGAATCCCAGAGCAGTTAAACCCAGCAGCTGGTTAACTGAAAGCATCATAAATAAATAACTACTAAACACTTGTGCGATGCTCTCACAGCACTCAAAGCAGCAGTTCACAAGAAATGCTGTAAAGAGACTAAAATACTCCTCCAGTTCCCATACTTTCACTGAGAAATAGTTGAAATACATTGCTCAGTCCTTCTATAGTGCTTATTCCAGCGTGTTCTACACCCTGGTGAATTCACTCTGTGTTCTAACAGTGAAGAGAAACCTTACAATCATGTCACGGATGAAGAAGAGACATTAAGAAATAACATCCAAGTGGCCTGTGATACTACTAAAAATAAACCCCTGCTGCTTTAAAGAAGCACGACACCTTCAACACAACCATTCCTCTTTAGAGGGCTTACATTTACATGCTATTGGCTTTAACATTACTTTTGAGTACACAGAGATATCACACTAACAGACAGGTCTGGAAGCATAAACATTTATTTCCACCAGAAGGAAAACCAATGGAAATCAGCCTGATTATTGCCTGTTCTAGTGGACTTTTACCAGGAATGTTTCCCAGGTACTCACTCAAGCTATCTCCTTTGGACAGGGCTGAAAATACAAGAATGGGAAGGAAGTTACCCAGATGCACATATCCTTTGGCAAAGCTTCTTGGGATAAATGAAGGGACGGGGGGGGGAAGCCTTTCTTCTTTCTCTAGTGGTTTTAAGTGAGGAAAACTTGAAGGTTACCAGGCACCTAGCAGGACAGATAAGAGCTGCGAGTGTCTCTGGAGCAGCTGATGACAGTGGAGAGGGCTACCTCAGTCTCCCCAGGATGCAATCATGGGTGGCCTATCTCAGCCGCACAGCAGATGGGTGGGACTTCGCTGTGATACAGGCTCGTTTCATAACCTCATTAGAAGTCTGCTCACAATACGAAAAAAAGCACATTAAGTGAGCTGCAACTGGGCTGAGGAGCACTAAGCTGACAGCTATTGTTTCCATAGCACAGAATAATCCTTATACGGCAAGTCCCTACATAAAGGAGTAGGATAAAAACCGAGCTGCGGGGTATTCTGACTCTTAAGTGCGATGTGGATGCGAGCAGCGGGGCCAGCGCAGCCCGCGTGACTGCAGCTCCTCCTGAGCAAGACCCGACTGCCCGCGACTCCCCGCAGACCCCTCAGGGGGGCACGGGGCGCCTCGGTCCCCGCTGCCCCGCTGCCTCGGACCCCCTTTCCCCGGCTTCCCAAGGACTTCCTGAGGGACCATGAGGAGAAACAACGAGCCCCAGAGCTTTGAATCCCCTCAGGAAACGCTCCCGCCCGTAAAGCCTGGCTCCATCACGGGACCCCCTCCCCTCACAAGGGACCCCCCTCAGGGCCGCCTCCCCTCCATTAGCGACCTCCTCCGCACCTCTGCTCCCTTCTAATGGATCCATTCCGTTCCCTCTCTCTCCCTGCCCCTCGGGCTCCCCTCCCAAGCCGCCCCTTACCCTCGGCTCTCCCCCTCACGATCCCGTCCCCTCAGCAGCGTGTCCCCCTCCCACCCCCTCACGGACTCCGCCCCCACCACCCCCTCCTCTCAGGCTAAGCCCCGCCCCTACGCTCCCATTGGGCAGTTGCCCCTCACGCTCCGGGATGTTGACAGCGCCGCCGCTTCCGATTGGCTGGCGCCCCTGTCACTCATCGGAGAAAGGGGCGGGGTAATGGAGGCGGCATCGCCGGGGCTGGGACGCGTCCAAGTGCAGAGGCGCCGCGGGCTCCGCCCCGACAGCTGCCCCCCCACCCTCCCGGGCTCGCTCTCTTCCTACCCGCATCGCTGGGAGCCCGCGGGGAGGCGTCCGCGGCGGCCCAAGAGCGGCCTCCCCCGGTGACCGTTAGGCGATAAACAGGCGCGGCCGCCGCCTTCCTCCCACCGATTGGCGGCCGAGTTTCGAACGCGGTGGGGCAGAGGGCGCTCCAGGCAGAGCCCGGCTCGATGATTGGCCACCTTGACCGCACAAGGGGCCGCGCCTTCCGCGCTGATTCGCTACGTGGAAAAGTACGCGCGGCGCCGCGAGGGGATTGGCCAGTGTGGCTACGCGCCGCACGGGCTCCCGGGATCCGATTGGTAGCCCGCCCGTTGCGCAGCCAAGTGCCGATCAGCGCTGCGCAGGCGCAGGGGGCGCGGCGGTGTGCGGAGCCGCAGAGGGTGCGGTACGCGTGCGTAACGGGACGGACCTGCGCGGTGCGGGCGGAGGCGCCTCGAGTCGCCTGGAGGTAGGAGGCAGTGGCGGGGTCGGGGTGTCCCGGGCGGTGGGAGCTGCCCCCGCGGCCCGGTTCGTAGCTGCGGGGAGGCGGCGGGGCTGGGAGGGCAGCGCCGCAGTGACCTTGAAGCCGTACGTCGCGGTGGCCGCTGTTTCACCTTGTTCCCGGCCCTGCTGACGCCGTGCTGCGCGGTCTGTTACCGGGTGTGCGTGCGAGGCTCCCAGCAGGGCAATAGCGGTTTAGTCAGGGGTATAATACATCGTTCTCCGTGGCCTTGCCAGACACCGGTAACGAGCTCTCATCTATCCGTGTTGAAAAAGTGGGATGTAGATCTTATCGCTGGATTCTCACGGTAAACTCTGCTCCCCGGTTCTGTTCCAGGTTTTGTTCCAGAGCCGTGTCCTCGTTTCTGTATGAATGTTCCAAGTTTATTTCATTTTGCATCCTTGCTGAGAGAAGTCCGAGCGCCAGGCTGGAGACCATGGATTCTGGCGCAGAAGCATTTGTCTCTACCCAGAGCACCCTTACTTCAGGCAGCAGGGAAGAAAAACTCTCTCAATCTCCTTGGACTAACTGAGGCAGAACTAGAAGAGCAGTTTGTGAGAGGTAATGGCCCAGGAGGCCAGGCCACAAATAAGACAAGCAACTGTGTTGTCTTGAAGCATGTTCCATCTGGGATTGTAGTGAAGGTAATTGGTTTATTCCACAAAGTCACAAATTGGCATCATGTCTTCCAAGTCTTTTTTAATATTAATGCATCATCACAGTGCAGATGTCAGGGAGGAAAAATGTTATGTAAAGAATCTCATCCAGAAGCAAGTTTTGGCTATCAGAAATACACTCTTTTGTTGTAGCTTTCAGTGGCAGCTCTCGCATTCCTGTGCCTCTTGTGAGTTAGGATGTCTTCCTTAACAAGGTGATCAGATCCACTTTGCAGATTCTTTTTAAGCATTTCTCTTGCCTGCTTCTTGTGGATTAATACTTTAAAATTAATCTTTGCTTCCTTATCATAAGGAGGAGACATTAAGTTAAACTCAGGAACAGGTCTCCAAGGTAAAATAGGAGCATTGAAGATTAATGCAAAAGCCAGTCTAACAAGTTACAGTAGCAAAAGAGGAGTTTCTTTACAGTAATGGCAGGAATGCATAGACTGAAAGGGAAAGCAGAAGGATAAAGAGATTAAAGTTCCAGTAAAAATATCCTATTGTGTTTCTTCAGTGTCATCAAACAAGATCAGTGGAGAAGAATCGGAAGATAGCCAGAGAAATCCTGCAGGAAAAAGTTGACCTTTTCTATAAAGGTGAAGAAAGTGATGTTTTTAAAGAGAGGAAAGCATTGGAGAAGAAAAAGAAGGAGAAAAAAAGAAGAGCAAGGGAACATCTAGAAAGGAAAAAGCTTTTTAAAGAGATGCAACAACTGGATAAGAAATGAACTGTGTGAAATACAGACTTGCCTGAGTAGGGTAAGGGGAACATTTATCATCATACCTAAACCCAGGTTTCAGACTAACAGATGAAGTTAGTTTGATGTAGAGCTCCCTAAGCACTGCTGAAAGACCAAGTAGTGACCTTCCATTACTGTAAAACTGAGGTGATAAAAGCAGTTGTATTTTTGCTTCTGCCTGCCATCATCGCATTAATCACATTTAGCAATCAGTTTTCCTGCCAAGTTCAGAAGATGCTAAAGCAATCCTTGTTAAAAAGGAACTATAAACCTTCCACCATTGGTAATGGAGACCAAAAAGTGCAATAGATTTCTTTCTGCCTGGATGACACCTTATGATGCTTTGTAAGAGTTCAATCACTTGGGGAGAACAAGCCTAAAACCAACACTCTCTCCTGCAAGTGAGTTGTGTTCTTCCAGTTCAAAGGTAAAATTGGGTTATTACAGCTAAAGAACACATCATGGAAGCTGCCTCCCAAGGCAATGGAATCCAGTTCATCCAAGCAGTGAAGTAATTAACTTGGCCTCAATATACTGTATTTTCTGCACATATCCATAGCTCTATGTGTTAGACAGCCCAGACAGCCCAACTTCCTTAGGATTTAGATTGCATAATAATTACAGTCACTTATTACATTAAGCTCAGGCATTTTTAGTATCTTCCCTCATTTCAGACAGTTTGCAATGTTCTGCAAATACAGCTGCATGTCCTTTGTTACTGTCACTCTGAAGGCACTAGTGAGGAATACTTTCCCATTTTAATCCCATTCACAACTCTAGTTGCTTAACCAGAGCTTCCCTTTCATTTCTGGACAGCACCTCCTCACTAGTTGCCACCAAGTTGTGGCCTTCAGCACAGATGGAGAAAGCTTCAGGAAGCCAGACCACAGTATGTGTTTTGAAAGGAGTGGAGACAACTGGCAGCTGTAACCACCTTCCAACTGCATCCCACTGTGCCAGGGATGGAAACTCACCAGCAATTCAGGGGTTCCCTAATTCCCTTCTCTGTTCCTGAATCTGAGCCTCCTGCATGAAAGTTACATTTTTAGCTGTTGAGAGTTCTTGTGCATGGAGTATGAATCCAATTAAAGTGACTGTACAGAGTTTCAATACAAACTGTTAATGAAAATAAGCTTTATTACGTCAAGTAATAAATACATACAAAGATGCAAATAACAGTTTTAGTAATTTATCCAGAATTTTCTTTTTTTTTTTTTTGGCAAACTTTAAACTGAAATCTCCAGCCTTAATGTAGAAATTAGCTTTCCAGGACCTTGTTATTATTTAATAGGTTTCCCTATTTTCCATATAACTCATGCACTTTAAATGGACTTCAAAGCACTAACAGTCATGCAAATGTTTATGCAAAACGAACAAAAAAGGGAAAGTAAGAGAAGGGGAAGGTTATTTCTAAGCAGGGTCTATGCTGTATGACAAAGTGTGACTTAGCAGACTACAGGGGACAGCATGCTATTCTGCATTCATTAAACAAAATCCTCAGAGCTTATGTCAGACTGTGGAAGACTGACAGTTTGGGGTTAAGTGAATACAGGCAAAGGAAAAAACCAAAAACCAGAATGAGACTGTGGCTGGATAAGAAGAGAACTGAAATAGAGCCTGGGAGAGAAAGAGCATTCCTCTGCATGCAGTTCAGTTTTAATGTTTTAGAAACATTTTGGAGGGAGTTTTAATGTCTTTACAAAATGCAAACCCTCAGGAAGTTGAAAAAAATCCTTGTTTTCTCATTCTTAACTATACATTTTTCGTAAGGGTGAAACAAGAAAGGCAAAACATTCAAAATAAAGGAATTTGTCTGAATGTTTCAAGAGTCAAAAGGAATAAGTGTTATTTTTCTTCATTCAGAAATGGAATGAGTGGGCTAGGATCTTGCATTTCGTTCCGTCTCAGCCAGGCATTCCCGAACTAATCCTCTGGCATGGATAATGCCTGCAAAAGAATTGGACATGTTTTCAATCATCTCGTTCCAGTCACACTTGCAATGGCACTGCAGAGAAAGGTTGAGGTATTTCTGTCCTAAATTGCCAAGGCTACCACAGAAGAGGGGCAGACCCCTCACTTCCTAAACATCAGCTGCTTCTTTCCCAAACTGACACTATAAATGGAAAAGGGGCTAAGCCAGGAATGAAAGCATGGTAAGATCTGCAGGTCTGCAGTGACAGGTATATCCTAACGTGCAGTGCAGACCTGTTAAAAAGCAAAGACATAACAGAAGTGGGGGTGGGGGGGAACCACCTTGCCCACCTGTGAGTTATTTTGCTGCAGTGGAGTGAAAAGTAAAATACAAAGTTATCCAGGGAGTCATTTTAGCAAGCTCTGAGTCTTAATACCTTGGGACAGTTCTCTGAGAGGATGCACCTAATTCAAGCCCTCATAATACTGCTTAAACCCAAGTTGTGTCTCTTGTAAGAACGATTTTTTATGGTGTGTGCAAAAAGCTCCCTCCTAACACTGGCTCAGCTCCCAGTGTAAGTCATCACCACTTCACATGCTGCCACATCTACTCTCATCTGATAGACATAATGTGGAATTTTTCACTACAGGGCCTGTTGCCTTCAGTTCCTGCAATCTGGACCTCCATTCTTAATCCTGGAACTAAATCTAGATTCATGTTCACAGAGCTGCTGAAAGAACAGGGCCCGAGATGGATTTTAGAGATGAGAGACAAGACAGGTTTTTCTACTACAAACAAGGTTATCTTTTACTGACAGGATAAGATAGAAAGTGATTTCTCTGCTCAGTCATGTTCCTTAACAAGGTGGAGAAAGGACAATAACACAAGAGATGAAGTTTAAACTCTATTTAAAGATAATGGATTCTGTTTCTGGAAGGCTGCTACTCCGTATCACAGTAACAGCCTTTACACTCAAAGAGTATTGACTTGGGACTTGACAGGCACAAGGCTTTGCAGAGGGTTAAACTGACACAGACAAGTAAAGCTGCATCCTGCAGCTGTGGGATGCAGAATTTGTGCATCAGACCTGGATCTGGTGGCAGGATGCCCAGTTTATGCAGCAGATCTATCCTGAATGATGAACAGTGGGGAATTTGGCCAGTTTTAGAGGTCAGTAGTCTCTGTGCTTAGAAGCAGGTGGAGCTGGGGATGTGGCCAGGGAGGCTGCAGTCACATTGGGCTACCCCCAGTCACTTTTACTCTCACACTTGCACATGCTCCTTCAACCATCAGACTCCCAAAATGGAAAGAGAGGTATGTCTGTGACCAAAAGATGGCAGCAAAAAGTATGTAATTGGGATTCTTTGCAACACTGGCAAGTCACAGTGCCAGCACTGAACCTGAAACCCACCTTAGGCAGCAAACTGAATACTCACTATGAGTAGCAGCAAAACAAGTTCTGAGCAAACTGAGGATGTCTACATCTCTCCCGGTCCCTCTCAGGTTGTCCCCATTAGCCTAGTGCCATTCATGATCTATTAATACTGACTCAGGCAATGCAATAAAGAGACTCCAGCAACATTGATTTTAGCTGGGCCAGATTCCACTTACCACTCATCAGCAGACTTTATTGCATCCTTTCCCAGAACAGCTACTAGCCACTTTATTGCATGTCATGGCAGATATATTACTCTCCCATAATGGTTGAGCCTTAAATAAAGCTTCATAGTCTTGGGTAAATGAAAGGGGTATTTGCAAGGTGGTGAAGTTAGTCTGCTACAGTAACATTCCCATTCTGGCTTGAAAGCATGTGCCAAACTCAGCACAAGCACCAAGGAAACAGTAATTACATTATGCTGGCAAAGGACAGGGCTGCCAGCACAACTGTTGTCCATGGCCTTTCAGGGTAATTTCAGGAGCTGGGGCAGTGGAATGTCCCACTGCTCCTTCAGAAATATCCCTCTCACGTCCCCTGTAGAGGACAATGTCAAGCTGATGTCAGCAGAGGGGCATGCAGGGGTTTCTTTTACACTGCAAGGAAAGGGCATTTATTACCCCTTTTAGCTGACAAAGCAAAGCTAGAAAGACCTATCAGCCAGCCCTAAAAGCTTCTATGTCCCTCCCTGGTGGGTTCTTAATGACATCCATTGACAACAGGTAACAGTGGAGGAACAAATGTGTATGTTTGACATCTCAGTCTGCACAGCCCTCCCTGGCAACCTTTTATTCCCTTTTTGTAGCTCTCCATCAGCCTTGGTGTGAAAATGCACTTTAGTAAAGGCTCCTGGGTCAAGTACATGGATGATGTACACGAGGAGAAGTAAACAGTGCTTGGCCATGTATTCTGGAGACCAGAAAGGGAAAATTGAAGGGGCAAGTCAGTCACCAGCAACCTGAAAGCACGTATCCATTAGACACCCTATGGGTCTAAAAGGTGGCTTGAAATACTAACTGAAACTCCCTTTGTGCACATGAAAGCCATTTTGTCACTGGTTTATCTATCAAATGCAGCACAACTGGAGTATCCCAGGGTTTCAGTTGCTCATTAATACACCCAGTTTAATGATGAGCTCAAAGCAGCTGTCTCCTTTCAAAAGAACCAGTTGTCATGAAGCTGTACACAAGCCATCAGTGCTCCAAGTGTATGGGACATGCTTCTTTTCAAACAGATTTAAACATTACCTCTTTTTAGCCTTTCCATCGCGCTTTTACTCCCAGCGTACGTGGGCCTAATCTCTTTTCCTAGTTCTTCTATGATAGCTAGAAGTTCTGCATATTTGCTTTGTGGTACTTGGCTGCTGCTGGTCCCCTGTAGTTGAAAACAGATTAATCTCAATCAAATACTGCTACAAACAGAACAATTACAACAAACAGCAACTGGGAACACAGGGAGAAATAGACTTTGAAGCCACTTTTTAAGACATTAAAATTTCAGGTTTATTACAGAAACATCATTTGCTTTTTGTGGTTGCCACTACAGCTGGACACAATGCTATGTGCCCTTCAAAAATCAGGATCAAATGGGAGCATGCAGCTGCAAGAGAGGGACCCTGGGTGAAACCAGAGCTAAAACAGAACTAAAAGAACTGCAAGCTGGGAATTGCTTATTTAACTCTGGTTTTGCTGCTTCAGTGTTTAGGTGTACATTTTGTGGGGAAGGCAGGAAAGTGAGAAGCAGAAAATGCAAAACTGCCTGCATCATAAGGGAAATCCTGTGAAGTCAAGAACATCTAATGGGAAGTTTACAGCTGGATTGCTGGAGCAGCCCACAGGACTGTGCGTGACACACACTTTATGGGACTAAGTTTTAGGGTATAAATTTACTGAGGAGAAACGTTACAGAAATAGTCATTTTTTAACAAATAAAATATGTTAAGAGCTCTTGTATCTCAACATAACTGAAGACATGTTTCACAGTGACTCAGACGGGATGGGACTAACAGTTAATTAGTAACCAATCTCACTCAGCACTCTGCTTAGTCTAATTTGATCCCAAGACACGTGTGATGAATCAGTGTGCCATTTCGGTTTGATTTCACATCTTGGTGGGAGGGAGGAACACCTCAGATTACAGGCCCCAATCCAGGCCAGTATGCAGGGTCAGTGATCCGATTAAAGAGAAACAACAAGCAGAGATGTACCTGCATCCCTTGTGTGTAGCCTAGAGATGGGGGTCCGTAGTCATTTATAAGCTGTCTGTATTGCGCGGATGTTGCCATACTTGTAGAGGGAGAGTGAATGCTCCCAGCTGGAGAGAGAAAAAGAGGAAAAAACACCCTGTTATTATGTAAAGATTAATTAGTCTGTTACATTGGGACACACTTTAATCACTTTTTGCTAAAGCTGTGACCTCTCACCTCTGTCTGAGCTCACTAATGACATTTCACAGGCATGGTATTTGCTAGGAAGAGCATGGTTAAATTAGCGCTTCTCTTATGTTTGCTGTACATTTGGAAACAGCACAGCCTGCAACATTATCAGTGCAAATTGTTTGCCTAAAAGTGAAACAGAGTGTAGCATGACAGGTTGTTCTGCCTAGACAAACTGTAAATATTAAGGAGCCCTATTTTGGCAGATATACATTCCACACAGATGAGTCTAATGTACTGTGCTATTTTTACTTTTTCACTGCAAGTTATCTGAAAGTAATTTTGCAACTCAAAGTGTCATCACATGGTCAATGCAAGTTACCCTCAGTACTATTTTCAGCCAATGCCAAAACTATTCACAGGGAACAGTCAGTTGAGGTAGATCAGATCTGCTGCTCATTGTATGACACTGGAGGCGAGGGCTGCTACCTTTATTCCTCTTTGTGTGATATCAAACATTTTTAGCCAGACAAATTGTGCTGTGTAAGAAAACCAAAGGGAAAATAACATCACCCTGGGTTACAAAGTTATAAAGGATTCTGTTTGGATCTACAGCGTTTTGAGTCAGCTGGGACTTCCAAAAACAGACTCTAGGGCAACCATTGATGAACTGCTCCACAAATGAACCATCACAACACTTCTTCCCCCTCACACCACAACACTAAGTACTGGGGGCTGAAAAACCACCTTCAGATTTTTCTTAGGGAGCTTAATTACGCTGCCCATTTCCCACCGGTGCTGGAGGACCTCCTGGCTATGAACTGTACCTCAGGACTAAGGGCATGTTACACCATTCAACTTGCTTGCTCTTACAGCCAGAGTGCCCCTGCATCCACTGATGCTGCTGTCTTTGCCTGTAGGCACAGACACAGACTGCCTGCTGTCTGGAAAAATCTTCCCCCTTACAAACACTCCTTTGCCGAAAATTCCCAACTGTCTTTCCTATGAGGAACAGATCTCATTTACCAGCCTTCATTTAAATCTAAATTAAACCGATGCTAAAAGTCACTGGGGCTTAGAACTATGTAAATCTCTAGGCTTTGTTTTAAAGTTGCAAGTGATTTCATTTCTGTTTTCCCCTGCTGCAAAAGGGTGAGCCAGCAGTTACACTGCATAAAACAAGGCTGAACACAGTGGAAGAGTCTCTTGCCCTCAGTTGGGAAGTCTCTTTCCACTTCAGAACTGATCACTGGTTATCACTGTGGTGGTGTCTCCATTACAGGAAGAGAGCATGTTCTTAATTTTCACTAGTTAACAGGATGTGAAATCCTAAGAAAGGCAAACTGAGCTGGTCACTAGGTCACCTCAAAAAGGCAAGATTTCTCTTTGTCTTTCGCTAAGCTGCTAAACCTTATGGCATTACAATCTGCATTTCTGGCCAGGTTTCCCATGGAGCCCATTGTCACATTTTGCTAAAGCACAGCAAAACCCAGGGAAACTTAGCAACACACCCTTAAGAGTATGGCACCCTTAGTTCTCCATTAGTTCTTCACATTGTTAGCTCAAACTGGTAAGATTTCTGTCTGCAAACTCAGTATTTCAAGTCCAGGTGACTGAGTTTCAACAGTTATCAAACATGACACAACAGCAAACCCCATCTTTCCTCCAAGGACTTCAAAATGCTTCAAAACCATTAATGAGCCCCTTGTGCTGCAAGGTAAGAAGCTTTAATTACCTCAATTAAGCAGAGAAAGACTAAAGTGATTTTTCCTCACATACAGTAAAACAAAAGGGCCATCCTGCAAAGACTTGTTCCTGAACTGTTGCTGCAAGCAGCCACATAGAAGACCTGGGAGCTCCAAAGTGGCTCAGAACTTAGGCCAGGACTCTGATGACCAGGCTCAGGAATCCTGCCCTACCCACTGAGCAAACCTCAGCTGCAGCAAACCAACAACTTACCACCACCGTGTTGGTTAATGACAATGTATTACAGACAGTTGAGTGAATGTTTCACATTATGTTGATTTAAGCGATTTCCCATGCTGGGTCTGTACAAAGTAAAGCAGCAGGGTACATCTAGGTAAGAAATAAACCCTATTAGAAGGCAAAGCAACGAATCTAGGTGCTGACCAAGTAAATTCCACAGGTGTAGAAGCCAGTACCACATGCCTTCGCAGTGGACAGTAGCTGCAAGCTTGGACCCAGCAGTGACTCAGTCAACACTTAATGACAAAACCAAACAAGAACTTTCAGGAGGCAACCACGAGTAAGAACCTGCTGCTGGAGGACTGCTGCTGATGTGAATTAGCAGTGAGACGGGTAGAGTTCATCCCTTCAGCAGCCAGGGGTGCTGTATTGTCTACTGTACCCGCCACATATGCAGAGCTGTGCTGCAGACACTAGAGGCCATCGCTGAGTACGGCATGCCCTGCCAAATGACAGATCGTGGTAACCATGGTGAGTTTACCCGTTTCTTTGCAGTCTGCATCAAAAATGTAATAAGACATAATGCCATGCGCCGACCACTTTATCAGCAGCAGCAGGCCCTGAGAACAAAGAAAAGGATTTGACTTGGCCATGGTACCAGCCTCCGTACACCCATGTCAGAAGTTGTGCCAGTCAAACTCAGCTGGGAGGGGGGAAAAAACAAAAAATCCTTGATTTCACCTCAATTTAAGATGATGCAATCATGAAAATGAAATTAATTGTGGGGGTATGAGTATCGCAGAGGGTAACGAACCTTGAGCTTTGTGACCTATCACTTTCTCTGTTAATACCACTGAGAAGCCCTGGGTTTTGGCTGACTATTACTCAATTAACCCAAAATCCAGCTGCATTTGAGTATCCCATACAGCTCAGATTCAAAAATCACAAAATAAAGATCGCCAGCTATTGCTATTATAGTGAGCAATAAAAATTAGGCCAGGAAGTCTCACAGTCAATACCCAGTCAAAAAGCAGTGTGATGATTAGGTATTCACTAGAGAGAAAAAAGGGGGGGGGGGGGGGAGAGCTAAACTGAGGCTCTCTCACGGTGAAATGACAATGGAGACAAGACAGTTAAGAACTGACACAATTGAAAAGGGAGTGTGCTTGGTACTGAATTTAAGAGACATCCTGTATCACGTCCCAGATTGTCTTAGTGCTTGCTGCTGTTTAAAACCTCAATTAATAGACACACTTTCCTCCCTCCACTTTCCTAATTAAATGTACACAAACCCTTTTCTCTACCCATTTATTCTTGTGCCAACAATGCCTTTCATGTCTGCATTCAAACAGAAGACTGCCAGAAGCATTCCCCCCCCACAAAAATATAGCTATTTTCTTGTTAATCAATATTAATCTGTTTTAATTGGGTGGGAGGGTGTAAATACAGAAAACAGAAATGAGATTTCTGTGTCAAAATCTCTTCCTTCCAGCAGTCTCTCTGAGCCCAAATTAACACATTGGGAGACAAAGGATCTCACATCAATCTTTGTTTGCCTAAACTCCCACTGACCAGGAATCTTCTCAGGAATTTCTGGTAGGTTTGTAGGGATCCCTTCAGGTCCTATGCTACTGTCTCCAAGCCTGAGCAATGATACCAATTTGCTGATCTAAGTTTTAATTCTTGATTCTCTTGCTGCTGCTTGCTGTAAAGGTACCTGAGAAGGAAGCAGCGGGAGCAGAACAACAGGGCACTCACCTGATCCACTCCCAGCAGATCCCATGGCTTCCACCCAGCTCAACTGCCCCCGTCTCTCTCACAAACAGCAAAGTAAGTTACTTAACTCATCAAGTTACTCACATAGAACTGACTTTAAACAAGCCAAGAGCCAACCTCAGTGGATACGTGCTTCTATATACCCTGTACTTTCTAAAGTCCTGTAAAACTGTGTAAGCAAACTCCTGCCATTTTACAAACTCTTCCTACACATGAACATTACAGCATGTAAGAGACACCTATAAGCCTGGAGTTTATCCAAGGTACACAGTGTAGTCTGTGGAATCCCACGGCTTCTTTCGCAAAGTCTACCTTGTTTCACAGTCTCTTCACTCTGGGGTTGCCTGCAACATAAACCTTCTGCCATTTAGATGGCTACTGGTCATCACCTCTTTGCATGGAGCCTAGTACCGTTACTGCCTCTGCCACACAACTGCAGGACATTCCTCATCTGCTTCAGATGATGGCACCTCAATTCCTGACAGTGTATGGTACAAGACAACCAGGCTGGAATATTTTAACTGAGAAGGATATAAATTTCTCTGTCCTAAACCAGACAACTCTGCAGGAGAACACCTGAGAAGCTGCTCTGCCAACACACATCACGAGGTATCTTCAAGCACAAAGGGAGAGGTAACATCTTCAACCAGCACAGCCATTTCAGCAGCGAGTACCTGAACACAGCCTGAATCACAGCTGCAGTGTTCTGGCTGACTACAAGAACATTTGATTCCTTAGCCCTCTATGCACTTTGGTTTAAGTTCAACAAGAACTCCCTGCCATCCATGGGATACCACATGCATGTCTACACAAGCAAATCTACTGCATAGCCAAGCCACGCACTACAGGAGCTGCCAACCCAGAGCGAAAACAGAGAGCCCCCTTTTCCCCCAACCCTCCAATAAATGTTTTAATTTAAAATAACAGACCCTGGTTCTCATTTGCACAAACCATTCCTTACAGCAGTGCCTGTGAAAGTTCTATTTTCACCCGCTATTTCCCCCTTAAACAGCCCTTGTGGTAGAAACAGACCTTTCTTTGAATAAAACTATTTCCTTTTAAAAAAGTCCAGTGCATGCACACATAAATATGTTCTCAAGAACTAGGACATTCCTTATCTTAACAGCCAGAGGCCTTGCTCTTTTGATCTGTCACACTCTGGACTTTTCCTCTAGTACTGTCGTTCTTTTTTATCTTTCCACGTGGGTAACGGTCATTTCTTATGTCTCCTCTTCCTACCCCCCTGCCTTTTCTATTAATCAGAAAACCAGAACACAGTCACATCCCCTTCTTTTCTATCTTAAGACACAGGACCAGCAAGTTATTTGGCACAAATAAAGGATCCAAAGAGGAAAGCATCTGGTACACGTACACCGCACATAGCTGGGGTGCAGGGAGGTATGACTTCAGATTAGTCTGGTCCCCCAGACCAAGTGTCCAGTGCATGGCTATGGTTCAAAGCCATCCACCCTTTGATTTGGACCCTTGTGTTCTCATTAAAAGGGATGGAGCATCAATGTTGCACAACCAGAACAGAGCTCCTAGTTTACTTTCATCCAAAAGGAACCGAGTTAGCATGAACCAAAACCACTCTGCAACTCAACCACCATGTGATGGGGGGGGACAATGAGGAGACCTGCTGGCTGTGAAAACCAGCCCTTTGCTCTAAAGCCAAACACTCAGGTAGACAAAGTCAAGAATGCCAGTTTTCTAAATGTACAAACAAGGCCACCTGAAAATTGCTGATTCTGAAATACTCTCAACGTGCTTTTTTTTTCCTAACTTCACATGGTCTTCAGGAGATCAGGGAAGCAACAAATTTCAGTTTGAACTAGAGGTGGGGGAGTCTATTTCC